CGGCGCATCTCGCCAAGAAAGCAGCTGCATAGCTTGGTCAACTCGTACTCTCTCAGATGATCCCAGTACAAGCTATCGGGCTCTCCGTCGGCACCACGTTGGTATATGGCTTGGTCAGGGGCATCTCCTCTCGGTCGGGCTTCCGGGAAAGACGGATAGGCGCACGCCTTCCACAGGGGTGCTGCCGACACGCATTCCCAGTCTACCACGCCTGTGAGGCCGCCGTCTTGGTCGACAAGGATATTGTGCTGAGACAGGTCGTCGTGGGGCAGCACGGAGAACTCGGAGTTTAAGCCCCAGCACGGGAAGAAGTTGCGGATGGACGACTTGAGCCTGGCGGTGGGTGATACCCAGGAGGGAATATATTTGGCAAAATATAAAAAAAAAACATACAACACCGAGGATTCCCCAGTGGTCACCCACCTGAGTACTAGTTCGGCCCTCACTGGTTTGACTAGGGGAGAGCGGACGGGATCCCGTATATTCCAGTGGATATGGTCGTATGTGCTCGCTTTTGAACCTGCCTGAGATTTTATCCTGCTTGGTGGCCTGCCAGTCCCGATTCCTGCAAGTGTCCCCAGCGTCCTCTGTGCATCCTCCACTGCATCGTCGTCTCTCGTCGAACCATCTCCGCTTCCGTATTTTGCGAGGGCGGAGCGGCAGTCATGCTCGTCAAGCGACAAGTGAGCGAATATCCATTCTACGCTCGACGGGAAGGGGTCCCGAGGAACGCCCTGCCGTATATGGTCCCCCCAGAAGAACGGCATGGATACGATCCGCTGGAAGGCTGGTGGCTCCTCGCCCTGGAGCGGGGATGATGACACGTCCGGGTAGATGTTCCCGATGCCGCGTAGCTGGTTACCGTACACGTCGGCGTAGTGAGCCGCAATCTTCTTGACCAGGCGCTCCTTTGCTGAGAAGTCCATCTCCACCCAGGAGATTGAGAGGGTCTTCCCGGGGAGCTTTTCTATGAGAATCCATTCGAACCCGACCGGATTAGCTCGAGTTGCGCTGTGTGCGATCGTCGCTACCTGGCTCAGCGTCTTGTGCCTCGGGTCGACAGGCAGGGCATGCGCAGGACGAGAGCCTGGTTGTCGTCGCGATGTCGTAGACCTTGTTGAAGGCTCCTGCGTAAGGAATGATATGACGGTTTTCTGGCCTGGCAGCAGCGACTCGATCGTGTGCCGGATGGAATCGATGTCGGGGTCGACGGCCCATCGAGGCTCGAGGGAGAAAGGGGTTTGAACCCACTCCAAACCCGCCAGTTCAGCCCCTGGAGCGGGATCCTCGCAGAAGAGAGAGACGATATGGCCTCGTAGAAGTGAGAGGAGATATGGCCCACAACAAGGCGAAGTGATAGTAGGCACGTTGAAGATTACAGATCCTGAGCCCTAAAGAGCTGCAATACTAGTGTTGTAGCCGCCTGTTGAAGATGGATCTTTGGCAGGGATTCAGGAAAAAAATGCACGTGGAGGATATCCCTAGGCGGAGAGTGGAGCAGGGGTGTGGCCTGGTGGCTCTTCACTCCTAGGCTACGAGTATTTTACTCGGACGACCCTTTTTCCTGCACGTCAATACCGGCGATAAATACTCGAGCTGCAACCGTCATCCAGTCGTCAGCCATAGCATCCCCCTCTAGTTGATTCACTCCTCGATGTCGATAACCGATGCCGCCAACAACGTGTAGTCACCTTCCGGGGCGAGAATCAGGTCCGGTCGCAGGACACTACTTCGGGCAGCTCGGTGTCAGTCCAGCGCATCGAGCTTGCCGACGGCCTGCCACACCAACTTATTGCCCAGTGTTAGTTAGGGACCTCCACCATCCTGGGATCGTCGAGGAGCGTGGAGAGGAGCATCCCCTGGAGGCGTCTTGATCGATGGGAACTGTGTTCAGTGCTATATCTTGTGACACGAAGTGCTGATTCTTGCGTGAGTTGTGAGACAGGTTTCGCAATCATCCAAAAATGCTTAGGCTATAGAAGGCTCGGTACTTAGCAGTGATGCGGCTATGACATTTGCTACGGCCGCGACAGGAGAACGCGGTACAATATTCATCCCAGGACAGTTTCCGGAAATAGCTGGTCAAGTCTCCGCCCAGACACAAACGACAAAGGCCTCGTTGAGCTACACAGTTTTGCGACGGATGATATGTATATCTAGGAAAGAAGGCTTTGCCTGACACTCCGCCAAAGTCGTCCAGACAAACTAGAGCACGGCCACCGAGCCCTGGCCCTCGAGCTTCCAGTCGGGGAACGCCGGAGCCTTGCTTTCCAGAGCACCAGAGCAGCTCTGGACGATGTTGTTGGAGCCGTTGTCGTAAGCGGACGCTAGCACCGCGTCCCAGGCGACTTGGCCGGGGGTCTCCTTGTAAATCACAAAGTCGAACCCGTAGCATTCCTGGGCATTGACGAACAGAATTCGGAAGGAGATGACGTCGCCGGCCCTGGCTACGAAGGCTCGGTAGACGTAGCGGCCCGTGGTCAGCCGGGCGTTGTCCGAGCTTCAGTTCCCCTTGGCCTCGTCCTCGAACTAGCCCTGTAGCATCTCGTTGGCGCGGTTGAAGTAGACGTGGTAGGTCGCGTCCCGGTCCGCGAGGATGTAGCCGCGCGCCTGCAGGACCGCGTAAGTGTGGTGCGAGCCCGCGGTCTGGGCCTCGCCGTTGACGTATGCCGGGGTGTTGACGCACTCCTCCTGACCCCTGCCGATCGACAGGCGCTTGCCCCAGCCGGTACTGAAGGGGGTCAGGCCCTTGATGTTGTCGGGACTAAAGTTGCCCCAGTGCGCATAGGCGCTATATTTGTGTTGCTTTTATGTCAGCCTTCAACCTTTCGTGCGCAATCTTTTTGTCGGAAGGAAAGGGAGTGGAGGTTTACTGACGGGACTTTTCCGGAGCCTGAGCCCTCCTCCAGCGCGTAGTAGGCCCACTGGACGCCCTTCAGGTCGACGGCGGCGGCGGACCGACGGGGGTCGTCGGGGTAGTGACCGTGATGGTGGTGGAGGTGTAGCCCCAGCAGGAGCAGGCGCTGGCGTACGAGGCCATGTTGGCGTTGCACTGCTTGATGTACGATGGCACCGTCTGCCCCTTGACGGTGACGGGGTCGCGCTTCATCTTGCGGTTGTACACCACGTTCTGCGGCGTGGCGGTGCTGTGGTTTGTGGAGCATCTACGGTCAGTGAAGGGCTCTGGGCCTCTCGGGGGACGAGGCTATCCGCCAGTCGTTGGGATCTAGGTGCTTACGGGGTGGCGTAGACAGTGGCCGTTATGAAGTTGGCGCAGTCTGTCTTGCGGACCTCGAGCAGAGGCAGCTTCCCCTCACGGGTGCCCGTCACGTCGCGGGCGCAGTTGTTGGCATTGCAGGCAGTGGCCTTGGCGTTCGTGTTCGCCAGGACGGTGGGGATGGCGGCGAAGACGCCGAGGGTGAGGACGAGAGCCTGCATATTCACACGGGATATCTTGGGACCTTGGAGGAGTCTTTTCGCTCAACTGGGTCAAGTGCAGGAAAGGTAGTGCCTATGATGCCTCGGAGCTCGGTGCTGGTGGCTGGAGATCTCGAGGGTTTCGGATGGTGGTTGAGAGTCTGGACATACTGGCGTCTTATACCTAGCATGCCCAGTGAGCATCTACCATATCTTCTCAAGTCCAGGAAAGCCACCTCAGTCACGTATTGACTTGTGGATTCCATCGGTTCTTGGCTTGAGGCTGTCGTGGGCAAGTATTTGGCTGAAAAAGGTGCTGCGCTTGGCGTTGAGGTTCGCAAGGCCAGAAGCTCGTTGGTCTCGCACTCGAAGGCATGCTAAGGTCTAGACTCAACAATGTCGGGTTTCGCCCTTTATTGGACGTCATCCGAGATCTGGCCCGGCAATCGACAGCCGGATTCCGCTGGGTGGCTTTGCACGCGCGGCTTCGAGACCCTGGGGCGGAAAGAAGATCCCTTTGTTCGCGGCTCGGGACCGAAATTTGTGCATATGCCAGTGGCAGATTTTCACCGCCCAGAATTCTTCGAGTTCAGGAACCGGGGCATTCCAACGCAATAGAGATCCATTGTTACCTGAAAAGTCTTGGGAACTCGCACCTCGACCAACCATGGCTACGAGGATGAGACGCTACAAAACCAGGCCCGGGGCGAAAATGGCTTGGTTTTGTGGTTCAGAGTGGTGGAAAGGACCGAATCTCTTGCAGTTGCAAATCTAGATCTCTTTGAGGGGGGCGGCCATATCAGCTGTGGCAAAATCTCCTTCAGTTGGAGAAACAGTACCATCCACTGAAGCAAGATTGGGATGAGAAGCTGGAGCAGAGCATCCAGAAGCTGTAGGAAAAGTACCTCGAGCAGGATGTACTGCAGCTTGAGCCAGTGGAATTCCTGGAGCGGCTGAGGCAGATGGGATGGCAGATACTGGTGGAGCACGCACAGGAGGAGCGGGACTACCGAGAGCGCCGAGCGATGTCCCAGCAGAACACGGCCAATATGGGCGCGCGCCCAACCACATAAGTCAACTTTTGGGTGACATCGCCCCAGGAGCTTGAACGGGATGCCAATGTTCGAATAAACTGGGAAGCGCTGGCTGTAAGAGAAAAACATGCCCGCACCAGATGCTCTGCATTTGCCTCCGGCTGTAACGAGATTTAGGCGGTGGTTTAACAGTCAATTTTGGCAATGACTTACAAATGGAAACAAAGTGTAAGCCAAAGGAGGGCAAAAGGTATGAACTGCTGGTTGTACAGCATTCCATTTACAAGATGGTTGAGATTAGCAGCGATGTCTGGAGCTTGGGGCAGTGCCGGCTGGCCTGATGAACCGCCATGAAGCCTCACCCATTCCCTGCCGATGTGAAAATGCCTCGACCCAGCCCTCATGCCAACAAATGCAAATCCTCAGCCTCGACTTTATATCGTCGGGTGAAAATGCCTCCATGGAAGCCCAACGTCAAATGTAAGGGGGAAAAGAATGCGCAGGCATACAGTGAACTGGGTGGGCGGGAAAACGAGGGAACCCATGATACTACCATGTCCAATTTAAGGTCCCACGGCGCGCTGACTCCTTCCTCTGGCGCTTGGCGCCGCGGCCCCAAGGAGGGTCATCGCCGGAGCTGGTGTCTCACAACGTAGAGCCACCGACCGCGTTCAATGCCTCATTTGCCGTAACAAATGGGTTAAGTGCTGGTCGATACGAGTTTTCACTAAATCCCAATGGGCCGAAGGGTTATTCATATTTTGGACGGCTACCGCTGCAGCTGCCCTCGTTGCCCAAAAAAGTGCGGTGGTGCCAAAGATTTGGCCAAGGCAAATGTACAAACATTTTATATCTAGGGTTTATTTTAGTTTAAACATTCATCTTTCGGTTTTAGTATGCACCCATATCTGTAACCATTCAATGTTTTACCCAAAATCCCATTTGCATTTGCAATTCCGCCTTCGAAGCCAACATAGCACTTGCAGTGCCAAATATTAACCCTACAAAGGCAATCACACATTACAACCAGGACACTACATAATTGCACTTTAGCAATTCGAATGCAGGCGATTTTAAATCAACGTATTAAATATCTATTGTTACATTTATGTTTGCTTCCTTTGCCCAAGATCTTTTTTTTTTTAAAAAAAAGCAAAAAACCAACGCCTTCCGTGCTGATTTATGAAGCGTGCTATTTTGACAAAAGAAGGTCGCCTCGGCCAACCGCTATTTAAGCAAAGGCAGGATTCCGCAAAGCGCCAGCTGCCACCAACCAAGTTCCGGGCGATAGCTGGTTTAGAGCCTGGGCTCGGCCTTGACGTGGGCGCCGTGGAAGCCGATACCAACCGGGAAATCCAGCTCGGCCCTGCCGACCTCGACCATGGTCTTGGCGTCGAGGCACACGAGGTAGCTCGTGCCCTTGTGGCCGTTGAGGACCACACTCAGAAGGCAGCCGTCGTCCTCCTCGGGCTCCGCGTCGGCGGCACCGGCGACGGCGGGGTCGGCATCGGACGCCGACGAGGACGACGACGAGGACGAAGAGGAGGAGGAGGAGGACGACGACGAGCTGGACTGCTGCGTCGCGGGCCCTCCCGCCACCGGCTTCACCAGAGGGGGCGCGCCGCGGGGCCGGGGCAGGAAGATGGGCTCTCCGGGGGTGTGGCCGTGCGGGTTTTCCCAGAAGGTGGCGCCGGGGCGGCCGGCGTACTCGGCCTCCATGTCGGTCTTGACGAGGGCGTCGATGATGGTGTTGAGGCCGCGCGTGGCCTGAGACCAGACGTAGCGGTGCGGCCTGGTGGCCTTTGCCGGGTTGATGACGGGCAGCTCGCCGACCCTGGGGCTTGGCACCCGGAGGACCCTGCCGCCCGCCATGCCGGGCCAGGCCGGGTCTAGGCGCGACTTGACGTCCAGGCCCTGGTGGCTCTCCCTAGAGGGCCAGATGCAGGGCGTGGTTATCGCGACGCCGGCCTGGTTGGTGCCGGGGCCCGAGGCCGGGATGGAGAAGGTGTAGCGGCTCAGGGTGGGCTGCGAGTTTGCGCGCCGCTCCGGGTCGCGCCAGAAGGCGTCGCCGGCGCCGTCGCGGTTGAGGATGACGTCAAAGTACAGGCCGTCCAGGATGTCGCGGCTGTCGTAGTTGATCATGTCGCAGGTGACGTGCCATATCGCATCGTCCTTGCTCGCGGTACCAGCATCTCCCGCAGACTTGGCAGCGTCGTGCTCCTCCGTCTCGCGGCCCTTGGGCTCTGCCGGGGTGCTCTCCTGCTGTCCGCCGGAGCGGCTCGCGTCGTAGTCCTCCCACGCGTTGATGGTGTGGAAGAAGAACATGGCCGGGGTCTCTCGGACGGCGATGACGCCGCGCCTCGCAGCGGTGCGGTCGATAAAGATCCACTTGGTGGTCTGGCTGGGGTCGAAGGGCACGAGCGACTCGACGACGTTGCCGTACACCATCATGGCGGCGCCCTTGTAGCCCATCTGGGCGACCGGCAGGCAGAGGATGACGTGGCGCTCGGTGAGGAAGAACGAGTGCATGTAGGTGGGGCCAAGGGACCGGTGGGCGAACCTGGCCATGATCTCGGTGGTGCCGCTAGCCGCATCGATGCGGAAGATGCGGTACTATATCGGCCGTCCAGTGTCAGAGACAACGGTCGTTCCTTCTGGCCATGTGCGTACCAGGACAATTTCCAAAGATATGGGGTATCAGGGCGAGCTGCACTTACTGTTGGGTTCGGGCCAACTTCCAGGTTGTAGTTGTAGATGTCGCCAGTGACCGGGTCGCGAGCCGCATGTGCGCAGGAGAAGGGACCTGCGAGCTCTGGATGAAGCTGCTTCTGGGTGGAGATGCCCACCCGCTCCATCGTCGTCTTGTCAACCAGACTGATGCTACTGGTATCGGTGAGCATCCAAATGGTGTTGGACTGGTGGCCAGAAGTCGCCGGCTCGCCGGGGTTGGGGTCGCTGCTGTTGGCCTGGACGAGGTTGTCCTCCCTCTCCAGTTGTACCGGTGGCTGCGTCACTACGGTGACGGCGATGTTCTCGAGGCCACGGCTGACCTGAGACGTGCGACCGAACCTTGCCCTCTTGAAAGTCGACATGACCTTGCCAAAAAGGCCGACGCAAGGATCCGACCTTTGGGCGAACGAGAACAGGCGATCGTCCCCGTTGCTCTTGATCCAGTTGACGAGGTCGTCCGACTGGCGGCGGGACGTGTACACGACCCGGGTCTTCTGGCTTTGCTGGTTCTGGCTGTCGCCATCTTGGGGCTCGTTGGGACCTGGTGCTGGGAACGCGGGGATGATGTCGAACCGGTGAGCATGTCCCAGTCCATCAAACCAGTGCGAGATCTTGAGGGTGCCGTTTGGCGTGTCCCGGATCTCCGAGTCTCCAGGGCCGGTGCGAAACAGTGACCCCGCGGCCCAGGCGGGGATCTCTCCCGAGACCTTCAGCTCGATCGGACCGCGCTCCTCCTTCAGACCGATGAGCTGTAGAAGCAGATGAGTGCAGGTGGTCAGCTCGTGATTTGTGCGAGATGGAAAAGGAAGACAATGCTTACGCCAGGCGCGTTCGGCCAGTCGTCGAAAGAGACGCTCTCGTGGTCTCGCATTGCGAACTTGTCGATCGCGTTGCCGACATGGTTCTTCAGCTGCTGTTGGGTGCCTGACATTTTGAGATGACGATGCTATTAGGTCTAGGGAAGTGTTTGGGAGAGGAAGATGATATAAGTAGTGCGAGAGGCTGATATGACTATCTTTGTCTTTCACTGCACGCTGTCTTGGATTGGGAGAGGATAGGTGGTGCTGCGGAAGAAATAGCCGCACTGAAGGGTAGTGTCTGAGGTATTGTCTCGGGAGGAATATGAGTTGTGTGTATTCATATGGAGAGGGTGTAGTGTGACCTGAAGGTGAATCCGGTCAACGAGCTTCAATTTTTTTTCCGCCAACACGATCAGCTCGATGAGTTGACAGTGCCTCTCTGTGAGGTGCTAGGTAGCATTGCCAGGCAAGCTTCATTCAATGAATATATGGGTGGTTCACGCCCTGTAGCGGGCTGGAGAGTGGGAGTTCAGCGGGTGGGGGAAGGCGCGACTGACCCCAAAAGTCAGACCGCAGTTCTAAAGTACATGGGCTACTGGGCAGACACCTGGTGCTTGGAGTCGGTGACAAAAGATGCATATGGCACAAGGTCTGATATATATCCTCAACGCTGTCCTCGGAAAGGGAAACAACGACCGCTCGGTCATGCGGGGAGACAGGCCAGGACGAGGATCCGGGAAAGCTACGAGGCAGCTGCAGAGAGCCGGTTGGTTGGCTTGAGTGCAGCAGACAGGCTCGCAGGCAGTGCGTCTCGTTTATTCCCCATCGGGTACACAGTAGCACGCGAGATGGGCCAGTCCCCAGGGATTTTGCACGTCCTCGCGGGGCGCTTTCCATCTTGGCGACACCCCTCCGAACTTGGCGCATCCGTCTTTGTCCATGGTAAGCGAGGAGGCGTTGGCGCCAACGATCAGGCCACCGCATGCAGCCTAGCCCCGGGAAGGCAAACTTGGGTGGGTTGTTTCAGGAACCGGGCCTCCAAAATTGGTGGGCCTGCTCTTTCCCAGCTGGCAGCCAGTCATGATCTGCTCAGCCTCTGCTGTCCATCGGATTAGGGCAGCGAAGATGGTTAGCTGGTACTTATAAAAGAGGCTTTAAGAGCCGGGAGACACAAAATTCGTCATGCTACGAAATTGCTTAGCGGCTTGCTTAGGCCAAACATCTGGACCTTCCCAATCCGGAAGTGTGGCAGGTGCTAAATTGACTACGTCCGAGACAAGCTTTCCAACCCGCAAATGACGGGACTTATTCCCAACCGGCAAACGAACAGCTCTGGCTCCCGTCTTGTAACATCAAAACGCCCGCCTAGTCACTTTTCCAGAGCACAGTCACGCAGCCTGTGAGTGTATTGCAAATGGACAGCCACCTGAGTCGGTCTGACTAGCGCTTGTTGAGTCTTTCTCACTGGAGCGGCAAACAAGAGGAAGGCATTTCAAGGTGACTGTGGATCTTGCCATGGCGTCTCCACGCAACCAAAAACTAGGCCAGCGTTTGGCCTACCGACATTTTTGCCACTGATCGTCACGCACCAAGCATGGGAAACGGAGCTCTCAACGCGCGTGGAGACTTAGCGTGTGGCGGATGCGCCGTGGCGGAAGCGACGCTGCGGGAGGCGTAAGAAGCAAGCAGGAACGACGGAGAGCTCAAATCCAGCCTTTTCCCGCCCTCCTCCAGAACAGGGAGCATGTCGAGCATCGACAAAACACCAACACCAGCAGCGCCGGCGGTAGCAGCAGCCATGGCGGCCCGCATCCGAGTTGCTATCATCGGCCTTTCGCCGTCGGCTAAGGGCTCTTGGGCCGAAGAGTCGCACCTGGCCTACCTCCTCTCGCCCCTGGGTCGCTCCCACTACGACGTCGTGGCCCTGCTGAACTCGACCGTCGAGGACGGCGCGGCCACGGTCGAGCGCTTCGGATTCGACGCGGCCACCGTCAAGACCTACGCCGACCCGGCCGCGCTGGCCGCCGACCCCAACGTCGACCTGGTCGTCTGCTGCACCACGGCGCGCGCCCACGCGGCCGCCGTCGGGCCCTCGCTGCGCGCCGGCAAGGCCGCCTACGTCGAGTGGCCTGTCGCGGGCAGCCTGGCGGCGGCGCTCGAGCTAGCCGACGACGTCGAGTGCGGCCGCAACGCCCTGCCGCCCGTCGGCGCGGGCATCGAAAGCCCTAGTAGCACCACCGACGGCTACCACCACTATCACAGCGGCGCCAGCAGCAACAGCAGCAATGACGGCAACGGGCCGGACCGCCACCACCACCTACACCTCCTTCCCGCGCAGGCGAGAGGCGGGAAGCGGCTCGGGGCCGAGAGCAGCATGATAGGCCTGCAGGGCCGCCTGAGCCCCGTGGTGCTCAAGATCAGCGACCTGCTCGACTCGGGCCGCGTCGGGCGCGTGCTGAGCAGCGACGTGCGCGCCTTCGGGTCCATGGGCGCGCGCGACTCGGTCCCGCGCTCGCTGGCGCACAGCGCCGACCGCGCCGACGGCCGCAGCCCCATCACCGAGGTCATGGCCCATGTGCTCGACTACGTCCATGAGGTCCTGGGCGAGTTCGAGCGTGGCACCGTCCGCTGCCGCATGCAGCTGCAACGGTCCACGATGCGTCTGCTTGGGAAAGCCGGCGACGGCGGGGAGGGGGTTTCTGCCGAGATGGAGTCGGACGTGCCGGACCTTGTTGTCCTGCATGGTCAGCTGGCTGCGGGGCGGCAGCAGCAGAGCGGCGGGTGGTGCTCGTCGCCCGACGGACGGGGCGGCGGCAGCGTCGTGGTCGAGGACGGGGCCACGCTGTCCATAATGTACCGGTCCGGCCCGCCCTTCAAGGGCGAGCCGGCCTTCGTGTGGACCATCAACTGCGAGCGCGGCGAGATCCTGGTGACGAGCCCCCAGGGGCCCTACCTGCACTCGGACTCGTACGCGGCCGCGGGACTGGACGCGCCCGACGAGCAGGGCCGCAGGTGGCTGCGGCCCGAGACCATCACGATCCGGGTGCACGACCATGTGCGGGACGAGGTCGTAAACGTGCACTGGGACTGGGAGGACTGGCAGAGGCAGCTGCCCGTGCGCGCGCGCATCGTGGCCCGCCTGTACGAGCGCTTCTGGAGGCGCTGGACACAGTGCCTGAAGGAGGGCGAGGCGGCAGGGCAAGGCGGCGGCGGTGGCGGCCGGGGCATCATGTTCGAGGACGACGACTGGCCGCGGATCGAGGACGGCGTGAGAAGGATGAGGCAGCTGGACGAGCTCTTCAGGCAGTACGACAAAGCAAGGACCCAGCTAGCTAGCTGAGTTGGATTAGTGATGATTGATGCATGTCCTACGAAAAAGGCTATAATAACGCGACCAGGCAGCACGCAGCAAGCAGCAAGCAACAGACAGACGGCTTGTCACACCTTTGTAACAAACAGATATACCTCCCTAGCTACCGTACCCTCCTTAGGCAGACCCTCAGGCAGACCCTCAAGCAGCCGCAACGGGAAGCGTCCCCTCGGTCGTCCTGAACGCCTCCTCCATCAGCGACAGGCCCAGCTCCAGCTCCTCCTCGGTGATGGTGATGGGCGGCGCGATCCTGAAGGCGCCGCCGAACGAGGCCATGGTGGCCAGGTTGGCCGACACGCCCAGCTCGAACATGCGCGCCGACAGCCTGTCGGCGAGCTCCACGGCCGGCCTTTTCGTGTCGCGCCCGTCCACGATCTCCACCCCGGCCATCAGGCCCCTGCCGCGCACGTCGCCGATGCAAGCATACCGCGCCCGCAAGGCCCGCAGCGCCTCCTGCAGGCGGACACCGAAGCGGGCCGAACGCTCGACGAGCCCGTCGCGCTGCACGAGCTGCAGCACCTTGAGCCCGACGGCGGCGGGGAGCGGGTCGTTGACGTGGGTGGTGTAGAAGAGGAAGCCCCTGTCCTTGGCGGCCGCGGCGATGGCGTCGCCGGTCGCGACGGCGCTGAGCGGCAGGCCGTTGCCGAGCGTCTTGCTCAGCGTCAAGATGTCAGGCACGACGCCGCCGTTGGACGGGTGCTGGAAGGCAAACATGTCGCCGGCGCGCCCCAGCGCCGTCTGGGCCTCGTCCAAGATCAGCAGCATGCCGCGCCGCTCGCAGTGCCGCTTCATGGCGGCCAGATAGCCGTCGGGCAGTACGTGCATCCCGCCCGACGACAGGATGGGCTCCAGTATCACGGCCGCCAGCGAGCCCGCCGAGGCCGCGTCCACCATGGACCAGCCGTAGTCCAGTTCCGTCTCCCAGTCGTAGGACCCGTCGGGCTTGCGGAAGATGGACCGGTACGCGTTTGGCGCCGGGAGGACAAAGTTTCCTGGGACCTGTCGGCGCGCGTTTCCATGTGGTTAGTTAGTCTCTTATGCCGCCGATCGATCGCTGGTCCCTAATGAAGAAGAAGACGAAAAAGAAAAAAAAGAACGCACCATCGGGCCGTAGCCCTTGCGGCCAGAGTGGTACTGCGCGCCCACGGCCTGCCCCGTCATGCCGTGCCAGCTGGCGCTGAGGCCCACAATCTCCCACTTGCCCGTCACGACCTTTGCCAGCTTGATGGCGGCCTCGTTGCTCTCGCCGCCCGTGCTCAGGAACATGGACCGGCCCAGGCCCGGCGGCAGCAGCCTCTTGAGCTCGGCCGCCAGCTGTATGACGGGCGGGCTGACCATGCCGCTGAACAGGTGGTCGAGGTGGAGGGCGTGCTGCCGGACCACCTCGACGACCTCGGGGTTGCCGTGCCCGACCAGGCACGACATCTGGCCCGACGTCCAGTCCAGGATCCGCCGCCCGCTCGCCGTGTAGAGGAAGACGCCCGACGCGCGCGTGATGATCTCGGCGTTGAAGGCCGTGCCGTAGCCTAGTAGCGACGAGTCGGCCGCCTGCTGCAGCGCCGCGGCGTCGACGCCCTCATAGGGTCCGGTGGTGGCGGCCATGGTTGGGGGGTGTTGTTAAGGCAAGAAGAGACTAGGAGACTTGGGGGTGGTTCACTTCACAACATCTCTAGGGCACCCGACACGTGTGAGTGACTACGTGGTGTTTATATGGCTAATCTGATAAACACCTTTTCGTCAGCCCTCGGGAACAGACACGAGGCAATCGCCATGGGCCGAGCTTGGCAGCCGTTGGATAGAGGGTCCGCTTATCGGCTTGGGAGGTGCGACCGTAGGAAAAGATAGGTACCTAGCTAGCTCCCAACCCGTTCCCTCGACCGAAGCGACTGAGGAATATCACCAGTCGTCAACCAGCTGGAATTGCGACGCTTCGGGAAACCACGTGCTTGTAATGCATGTTGTAAGTGTAAGCTAGTAGCTCTATGATGTCTATCCGTGCGCATGGCCGAGTAGCCACAAGCCATTTGATTGCAAGGTTGAAGTCTATTGGAAGTCTTCAGGGCCCAGCCAGCAAGGCAGCGTTTCCCGTCGGGGTGGGGTAGCAGTGCGGGGGCGGGTCGCCAAGAGGGTTCGGTTCAACCCACAGCATCAGCACCAGTACCAGATGGCCAAGACATGCGCGTTCCTACTAGTTCAGGACAGTCCCATCGCTATTGAACATGTCCCACAGGTCGGCCCATGGATAGCCTATGGGATCGACTGCGTTGTAGGACCCGAGGTTCTGGGGCGTGAACACGTATGGCCCCGCGCCGCCTCCCGGGAGCATGATGCCCGGGTCCTGCTGCAGCGAGGCGGCCGACAGGGGCAGGACGCCGGCGGAGTGTGGGAGGCCAAGAGGTAGGACACCCACCCCGACGCCACCACAGTTGACCGACGGCGCGGCCGGGGAAGAAGGGCTGTACGGCTGAGTGCCCGCCTGGCTGTTGTTGCTGTTGTTGTGGTTGTGGCACGCGTCGATCACCTTTGTCACCGACTCCTCCGTTTGCGCCAGGCAGATGTCCCCAAGCTCCCAGCCGCTCTTGTCTCTTGCCTCGAGGAGCCTCACACGTAACCGCTCAAGGCTTGACCGGCACGAGTCCGAGACGCCAGCATCCGTGGACTCGATGGCGCATCTTAGCAGGAGGAAGGTGACGGACGAAAGGTGGTAGGCAGTATCTGCAGCACGTCCATTGGTGTTAGGATGGCGACCAGCAAGGCAGAGACATGCAGGTTCAGGGGCTGTAACATACACGACGACCACCACTCGGCCAGATTTTGCTCCGTCAGTGAGCAGATAAAGTCTACGACCGATTCAGCCGTCTTCCGGAGCTTGGACAGATGATGGCTCCTCTCCTCCGAGTCCGGCGGGTTGTTCGATCTCGATACCTCCTGTCAAAAAAGCTCGCGTATTAGCTCGAGTCACAACCTGGAGGGGGCGTTCCTCACTCACGCGGAGGTTGATGCGGCAGAGCAACATCTTCATGGCGAGAAATCCCAGACGTAAACTACTGGACCCTGACACGGGTGCTTTGCTACCTCTGTTCCGGCCGTGTTCCCTGAGATAGTCGGGCAGGTTAGACTCCCACTCCTCGAGGTCACTCTCGAGATCTCTGCGTTTCCGGGAAGTGTTGCTGGCCGGGGACCTGCGCAGGTCGTGCAGCAGTGGCAACATGTCGCCTAGGATCTCGGTTAGTTTGCACAGTGCGATAAAGCAATGTGCAGCCTGGTCCCGCTCGAGCGTCGATTCCAGCTCGGGTGTCGCGAGAGTGGCGCGGGTTGGAAGCGGGACGTCGTACTGGCTCTGGCCGATGCAGGGAGGCACTCCGTAGGCGAAGCTAGACCACCTGTCATGGATCAGAGTCCCCCACCAGAGCCGGATGCGCAACTGCTTGTCGTAGTCGGCCAGGTCCCAGCGCTCCGGGTCGCGGTTGAGGCCGAGCAGATGCGCCATGGCCACGACGCGGCCGTTGAGCATGGTGTTGTACGTGGCCGAGGTGGTAGGCCGGCCCGAGAGGTCCAGGACGCCCGTGTAGACGGTGGACAGGCTCGCGGCGTGAAAGTCCTCCTGCAATGCGGAAACGGCCTGCTTGAGGGTGTACATGACGTCGGGCCTCGGGTGTTTCCGCAGAACCGGCGACGTGTCCCAGAAGATGAGCGACGAGGCGTAGACCCAGCATAACAGGGTGGGCGCGAGCAAGTGCATCGTCCGCGTCTTTCTCGCCTTGATGAAAGCGCTCTCGTCCAGGATCGGGAAGGCGGGGTGTGTTTTACGAAAGTAACTGGTGGCCGGGTCGGTCAGTGTGTATATAAAAAATCAGGAAGCAGCGCACAGGGAGGTGTCTCGCATACACGTCGATCAACTCAGCCGTAAAGGGTCCCAGGATCTGCTCTATGATCTCCAGCTGGGCCATGCCGGGGACGCGGTGCATCCTGAAGCCGGCGCGGTACCTGGGCACGCTCAGCGACACGACGGGGTTGCCCGGGTCCCTCGAGACCAGGTTGAACAGCCGCTTCCTCGCACCGGCAGCATCGGGCGTGCCGGCCGCCACGGCCGAGGCCTGGCTCTGGACCGAGATGTACTGCTCGATCACGTGCAGGTCCTCGGCCGACTCGGGGCCGACGATGGCGAAGGCCTCGGAGTCGTGCGGGGCCTCCTCGGTCTCGCGGACGGCGTTGCGATGGCGATACGAGGCCCTGTCGCCGCTGCCGCCGCCGCCGCTGCCACCGGGGCACTCATCGTCCGAGGCGGCGCGGCTAGGCGGCGAAACGCGGACACGGGACGGCCTGTCGGCGGAGCCGGTGGTGGTGCGGCGGCGCTTGGGCGCAGGGGGGCTGCGGCTTCTCCGTCGGGCAGGGTCATTCCGGCGGCTGCCAGCGCTGGCGGCCGAGGAGGAGGCGTTCAGCTCGGCGGCGGCCCCAGCGCCAGGGCGGCGGCTGCACTCGGCACTGTGGAGCCGGCACAGCAGGCAGGGCTTGTCTTTGATGTCGACGGTGCAGCGCAGCTTGCGCACCCTACAGCGCTCGCAGGCGGGCACCTTGTGCGAGCGGTACGGGCGCACGGGCACTGCGGCCGCGGCATCGTGGCTCTCGTTGCTGGGTTCCTCGGGCGGCGTCGATGACGAGCTCTCGTTCATTTCGGACGCGGCGCCTGTTCAGCAGTGGCGGCGGCCTGGCGTGGATGTTGCCAATCGCAGCGTTGAAGGGATTGCGTCTTGCTCCGATGTCGCTGTTTTCCGTCGGGTAGGGGAAGCGGGGGGATTGGTCTGTGTTTTCGTGGGGTCCACTTGAGATTACCAGTTCCCACTGTGTGGCCAGATCACATTGATAACTCAATTACATGAGAGGTGTCATGACATTCGTGTCCATTTTATGGAGGTTACATAACTACAAACCCAGCAAACAAACAGAAGCAAGTCTCATAACAACCATCAAGCGTGCGTGTGTATACCCATACATGAAAATCCACCCCCCAAGCCCACCTTAGGCGTTGACAGCCGTCTCCCTGGCCACCTCGACGGGCGCCACAGGCTGGGTCGAAACAGGCACGGGACGCGAGACCTGGACAGGGTCGTCGGCGCCGTCCTCCTTCATGCCGCCCAGGATCATGCTCTTGGGGGCCATGGCCTGCCACAGCTCCGGGTCGGTAAAGGCCTTGAACTTCTCGTCGTGCCACTGGCCGGCCGTGACGTAGCGGCCCTCGCTGTCGACGAACATGGCGTCGTCCTCGGCGCGCAGGAAGTAGGCGATGGAGTAGCGGTGCTCCTCCCGGTCGAAGCCCGGCACCACGCGGTGGATGCACGACTGGAACTTCATGCCGCTCGCGAACCGCAGGCTGTCGCCCACGTGCACGAAGGCGCAGCCCGGCTTGGGCCGCACGAAGCCCATCTCGCGCGCGCCGCACGTGCCCGGCGGCCGCACCTGCAGGCCCCACTGGTCGCTGAAGAGGAGCGTCAGGGAGCTGATGTCGGTGTGCTTCTGGTGCCCGATCTTGTTGTCACCCGCGAGCTGCACCTGGGGGAGGTAGTGCATCATGGAAAGCTGGATTGGGTTTTGCACGTCAGCATCACAAACCGTATCATGAGAGAGTGACGAAAGAAGCCGCATTGGGAGGCCGACGTACGGTGGTGGTCGAGGGGCGCTCGTTGCGGTGCGAGTTCTCGAACCGAGAAGCCCCGGTCAGGTTCATGCCCGTCGACAGAGCCGACAGGATCACCTTGGTGACGGTGTTGCAGCTACCAATGTTGTTCTCCAGGATTCTCATGTCGTCACTGTTCTTGACGGGCGACGGGATCTTGGGGCTGTCCCTCTGGATCTCGTCCCGCGAGACCTTGAGCATCTCGTAGCCATCCTTGGCGCCAGGCACAACACCGGTGCGGCTACCCACAGGCTCGTAGCTGCAGCGATTGGAAAGGGTGTTCGTTAGCGGATGCGGACGAGGTGTTTGCCGACTAAGAAGCAGTACATACCCCAGGTGGGACGAGATCAGACCAAACTCGTTCTTCTTCTCAAGCGGGGCATCAAAGAAGCGCTTCATGAGACTCTGCAGGTCCTGCTTGTCGGCCAGCATCCTGCGGCCGTCGATGCCTTGGAGGTCGAGGTAAAAGTAGCCCTCCTCAAGGCAGGCCTTGGTGAGCTTCTCCACCTCCTCGGGGTCCTGGGAGAGGATGGCGCCGTAGTTGACGGTTGCCATCTCCCAGACGGGCACCTGCTTGCCCTGCCACTCCACAGTCTGCGGGGGCTCCAGCTGGACGACCATTGTGGCGGTTGTGGATGAGTGGCCTGGCTTTACGGGGGGCCTTGGTTTGTGAGAGGATGGCAGCTTGAGATGGAGGCTAGCAAAATGTGAAAGAGAGATGGCACAGAGATGAGGGATGGAAGGGGAGGAGGATCGATAGTGCACTAGATAAATAGGTAGGTAGTAACGCAAAGATCGGCCACCTACCTACTACCATGCTCCCGAGTGTCCCCGGCTGTGCTCGGAGCCCATTGCCCGGTCTGGAAGCTAATAGTCATCATCTTGGCCCATCCCCGCCTACCCATAAGGCATCCCGATGACGGGCAACAGCGCCACGGAAGCCGTTCCGCAAAACGAAACACCACCCCTCACTATATCCCGAAGGTCCCCCTCTGCCCCTCTTTTTTGCCAAGCCACATGTCAAGTCCCGCGTCGAGGGACGCGCAGGTTGGCGTATTCTTCCAAAGTGGCCCCATCCTGCCACCAAGACTCCAATCACGAATAGCGGGCGGGCCGAGCCAGGGCCACCACGGCAGTTTAGGTTTTGCCCATACAAAAGCTGCCAGCGCGACGATAAGTTGGCCTGAATGCGACGACGATCTCTCGGCACCTGCCAGCCCAGGAGGCCAAACCACGGACGGGTATCCTCCACCCCCTCTCTCGATTTCCAAGGCGGTAGTGGCATCTCCCTTGGTATTTACCACCTGCCTGGCTGGTAATTACTGACTGGCATAATACACTAAGCGCAAAACACCGGGCACCTGAGCACGATGCTCTGCCGAGACTCGTCCCCCACGAACGCGGGGCTCTCAAACGCCGAGCACAGGGCATGCCGGGCCAGGCCCTCCGATTCGTCTGAGTCGAAGTACTTGATAAGGAAGACTTCCAGCGGGGGCATGGCACCCTTGTAGTACGATGGGCCGGGCTGCCATCGGTCATGTTGGCCGCCACCAGGCCCGAGTCGGGCACCGAGCTGCAGTCGGCCACGGCGATGTAGTCCCCCCTTCACAACCCGGATCGGCTGCCACGCGTTGACGATCTGGCAGCGCCGCCCCGGTGAAGCCACCAGGCGGCCGGTCGGGTCGCCAGGCTCATGGTCCCGGAGCTCATCGCGTAGGCGCAGCTCGGCGCCCGCCCAAGACCGGTCGACGTGCGCGCTCGTCAAATACCTGAGGAGTTACCCGCACTCGCGATAGGGGGTGGCACTGATGGCCTGCCCCTCTGTAACGTCCTTCTCTCCGCTCTCGTGGCGGCAATACTAGAAATAATAGCGGTCCAGCGTGTACTGTTTCTCGCCGCCCCTGACGGCGATGATGACGAAGGGGTGCGGGCGTTTGTCACTGATGGAGCCCTGTCGATGAAGATGGGGGTGGGCCTGGAGCCGCCGCCGGGGTTGTCCCAACAGTTGAGCGTCGTTGACATGTCGAGTCTTGTAATAGAAGTGCTCTCGTGTGGGGCTCATGTTGGCGGCGCTGGATGCTGCGCCAGCTGCACCTCACTAACCCGCATGATCGAAGAAGAGTCCAGTCTGTGCTAACGCCAGTCGGATCGGATGCGTTGGCGCCTCGTGCTTGAGGAAGGCGAGGTGCAAGGTTACTAAACCGCCGGTCCCGGTGTCTTGGCTGGCTGCTACGAGCTGCGTTGTACACAGCAACTGCCGGAAACGGTAGGTGGCCTCGGCGAGCTCTGCCCGACCGGTTAATATGTGTCCAGTGGCGTTTAGTGTTTGGTGGTGTGCAGCAGTTCGAGGCAGCTTGCAGCTTGATTACAGCTTCGTTGCAGCTCGCCCCCGCCTCGACTGCAAGCCGCTCAAATCAGGATACAAGACCGACGGCGTGGGTCGCATTGCATTGGAGAATGAGGGGCAAACCTGCCGCCACCCTGGCAGTCTGTTATCCAACACTTGGCGAACCCCCACGCGGGCTGCGCTCAAGCTGTGCTCAAGCTTGCACCAGGGAAGAGCTATTCAGGTGCCTCAGTATCTGTCTAGAGCAGATTCTCGGCCCGAAACAGATGGAGGAGGTTGACGAGGGCTTCATTCTCGTCTCCAAGGGCGGCGGAGGTCCCGACGATGCCCCGGACGAGTACCTCGATGACATTGACGAGTTCGTCGGGAGCCTGGCGGGTTCACTCTGGCCGTTGAACATTTTCATCCACGCAAACCCGGAGCTTGCCTTTGAAGAATTCAAAGCCCACGATGCCCTGACCAAGTTCATGCGTAAGCAGAGGGGTTGGCACGTCACCCCATCCGCGTATGGCCTCAAGACGGCATGGACGGCAGTCTACGACAGCGGGCGGAAAGGGCCTGTTGTTTCCTTCAACGTTGAAATGGGTACGTCCACGGCGCCCAAGGTGTGCAAGGTTACATACCCATACCCGGTCTAAACAAACACAGATGCCCTCCCCAAGATCGGGCACGCCTGCGGCCACAACCTCATCGCCACGGCGTCGGTGGCGGCGGGCCTCGCCACCGCCCAGATGATGCGCGAGCACCGCCTGCCCGGCAAGGTGCTCGTCATCGGCACGCCCGGCGAGGAGGGCGGCGGCGGCGGCAAGATCAAGCTCCTGGAGCGCGGCGCCTACCGCGGCGTCGACGTCTCGCTCATCTCGCACCCGGGCGTCGCCAACAACAGCCCGCTGGTCCGCACCACGGCCTACCTGCGCCTCGAGGCCGCCTACGCGGGGCGGGCCGCCCACGCCGCCAACTCCCCCTGGCTGGGCGTCAACGCGCTCGACGCGCTCGTCGTCGCCTATGGCGCCGTGTCGGCCCTGCGCCAGCAGACGCGCCCGGACGACGTGGTCGGCCTGCAGATCGTCGACGGCGGCGGCGCGCCAAACGTCATCCACGCCCGCGCCGCCGGCCTCG